GGCGCAAAGATCTTCGTGGCGTTTGAGTTCTCCGATGCTTAGCAATAGGAACGGGGAACACTGGGAACGTTTACTTTCCAGTTTCTGCAACATTTACGTTCTCATAGTAAAGCAGGAACATAATTGCGATGCTTCAATGTTAATTTTATCAGAAAAGGTGCTTCAATGTTAATTAAACCGGGGAACTTTTCAATCTAGGTCATCTTTGCTTTTTATCATTGTCAATAAATTATCATTGTCAATAAATAGATATGATGTACAATAACCGATCGTGCCAGCCCAAAACGGCGAGCATCGGGCCAAGATATTGGTCCTTGTGTCAGGAAACGCCTTCCTCAGGGCAGTCCCAATGGAAAAAATTGATGCAGTGGAGGTGTCTTTGTGTAATAATTATTTTCTCTTTCTCCCTCCCAACTCTATCTTCTTCCTCCAATGGAAGTGTGGCATGAGTCCCCTGAAAACTGGTGGTTTCTCCCCAATGGCGATTTCATGGTTTCTTGGTGCATTGGGTCAAGAGAAGACCTGATTTCTTCATGAGAAAACCATTTCTAAGATTTTTGCTCTCTTTCTTCATTAATTACGTTGTCATGTCAGCATTTTGCCTACATGGTAAGTCATTTAATGAGGATAAAAACTATCATCAATACACCGTTGGGACTGCCCTCACAGGAGGAGATAGACCGCGTGGAGTTGCGGATTTTGGTCTTAGCCCGTGTAGGTGCAGGGTCTCGGCCCAAGTCATGTGTGAGAGTAACGGCAGCATATAAGCGGGTTAGATTTGTTTGGAAACGGTTATGGAATAACATAAATCTAAACCATTCCTCTCCTAGCTATCCTCTTTGCTGTTCTTCTCTGTTCTTCCTCATTTTTTTTGAGATTACACGGTATAACTTAGATACTCATAACTCACGTACATTCATCTATATGAACACACGCACACAAACTCTAACTCTATGAGCATTTTTAAAGATTGGGCTGGCAAATCCTTGAGATTGACGAAGTCACCATAGACGCCTCGTTGTCAACGAGAACGCCGCCTACCACTGAAAGTTTCTCACTTCTTTGTTGTTCTACCCTGATTCAGTCCATTTCTACTAACCCGGTCCTCTAGTTCGTGACAAATTGGTAACAAGAGCCTCTCAATTCGGGAGACCCAAATTTTTTCACCAGATTCATGCTGTTTTGTGTGCTAGAACATGCCCCGAAGCATGAGGAGAAGATGATGGCGACGCTGGAGGACTTGTTCAGGCAATTCGAAGGATTCCAAGTTCGCAACCGATGATGAAGCAATCCCGTGACAAGCTTTCCACATTGGATGCATGGCCTGGTGCGGTGGACGAAACGATGGGGTCGCTGCTTTCCAAGATCGATGACACGGCGGCACAACTGCTTTAGCTAGAGGCTCCACCACCTCCACCCCCCTCACCGAGCGGTTGGGTCGGCCACATCGACCTCACCGCGTTCCTCACCCATCGGCACGCGCATCTGCGTCGCCGAGCGAACGACCTCATGGGCATGGCGAATCACCTCACCACCGGGATGCTGGCGGTGGCGTCCTCGGACCCTCGCCATGCTTGGTCAACAGTATGTCGTCTGATCCCATTCATTTTGTTGGGGTTAGCATGAATGGTCTCCGTTCTCAATCTATTCCAAAGATGCAGTTTCCAAAATTTGATGGTTCTAACGCACGTTTATGGCGGGATCGATGCGAGATGTATATTGAGATGTTCGCGGTTCATCCTGACTTGAAGACTCGTTTTGCTGCTCTCAATTTTCTAGGTTAGGCTGTTGTTTGGTTACAAACAGTTGAGCATCGAGGTCGGTTTCAGACTTGGGACTCAATGGCAGATGTTGTCTTCAATCGGGGACAAGGATCAATGTAATGCCCTGAAGTAATAAAAAGAGAGAGAGAGAGCTAGATGGGCCTAGGCCCATCTGCTGGTGCCACCTCCCCCTTTTTCTCCTCCCTCTCCTGGCCGCCACCCCTTTCTCCTTTCCTCTCCTGGCCGCACCTTCTTCTTCCTTCTTGCAAAAGTTTCCCATGGATCTCTTGCTCTAGAGCCTAAATCAAGAAGAAAAGTTAGGGAGCAGGGGAGGAGCAGGGAGAGGTGTGGATTGGAGTTCTCCCACCGTTCTCCTTGCGGGATCTTCAAGGGAACCCTAGGTGAGACTTGAGTTTCTGTAAAGTGTAAGTTTTAGAGGTGTTCTGGATGCCTAAAAGTCGAGGAGGAGAAGGGATTAGAGAAGGGTTTAAGGGATGTTTTCGTTTTGGTCACGCAGTGGGTGGACAGGCAATTAGGGTTTCAGTGTTTTCCTTCTCTCCCTGTACAGCTGTAGATCGGTCTGTTTTTGAGGTATTTACTGGCCGAATTAGGGGATTTCATATGAATGGAAGTTGTAGGGCATTTGAAGACCTTTCCAACGAGTATTTAAGCTTAATTTTTTGTTGAGCATAGCAAAAGTTATGGCTTTCTGAATGTTGCCGATGGTTACTGCAGTTCTATCAGGTTGGGGTCAGTTTCGAACTCCAGTTTTCAGCATCGTTTTAGAAGTTTTCGAGGCCATTTTGGTCCAGGGCGCTATGGAGTATTTTGTAGTACTTTGTATGAACTTTTCATTGAGTATTTAAACTCTGTTTTAGGATCAATGGCTTGGGAGGTATGGTTTTCTGAAGACAGAGTTGCTGCTCTAGAAACTCAGAGTAGTCTGTTGCTTTGTAGGCTGCATTAAAAATAGTAGATGTTGAAATTTTAATTTCTGCTGAATACCAAGGTTGTAGCTTATTCAGTGTAGATGCTTGTTAGCTATTTATTTGTTATCACAACTGCTACGGTTTCAGAGTTAAAAAAAAGAACGAGCAGCACTGCTGCTGTTTATCGGGGTCAAGTGGGGGTTGTTTTTCATCGATTGCTTGTTCGGACGTAGGGCCGTTTTTGTTGATTGTTTACAAGTGTTATTCGGGGTATTTGTACTGAGTTCTTTGTTTTAAAACAGGTGGTAGTGCCTCGGATCGCCCCTAGTCCTTTTTGACCTTCTTCGGTAAAAAAGGCAAGTGAATGTAGCAGTGGTTCGCTACTGTTTTGACTTGTTATCTTTATCACCTACACCACAATGTTCGGAACCATGTCATAACAACTGTGAACTGAACCTTTCTGATGTTCCTCTCTCAATCGTAATTGGATGCCTTATTTCTTTATATATGGTGTGGTTGTGATGCACTGATGCTAGCACGGTTCATGTGGTCAAATCACATGGCTTTGGAGAAGGTGAAGTTATATTGTTATTATTGTAGCATGTCATATGTATTGCATCATTCGAATGCATTGGAAGTTATATCGTTGACCTATGGTCACGACCGTACCGGTACAACATCATGGGATGCAGCTCCATACCTTGTTGGGTATGCAGGCAGGAGTCATTTGCATTGCACTCATATGTATTTATGAAACATATTTGAAGTGACATGACCTTGCTAATATAATATTGAAGGTGTATCACCTCTCTGTGGTTTTATTTGGAGGTGTTCTTTACATTGGTTTTATATGTTGCTATTCAGAGATGGAATCCTTTACTAAATCGCTACTTAACACAACTTGTGATTTAAATAGCTAAAAAAATTACTTGCTGAGATGTTTTCATCTCACCCTTGCATTATTCTTCCCAGGTACTTGATAGTTGCTCGGATGGGAAGGGAGCTAGCTGCACGTTTCACACACCTTCATTTGGAGACTACTCCATAAACTTAATAACGTAGTTGTGATAATTAGTTTTTGTGGATGTTTATTTTATGTTAGTGTGGTCTATATGTGTCTTATCTTTGTTCTCACCTCCGTGTTGCTTATATTTACAAAGGAGGTGCTGCCGTTTTTTTATTTAGTATGTCCAGCTAGTGTTTGTGTTGTTTAGTAGCACCCTGGGGTGTTACAATCAACATGAAATCCGCGTGATGGGTTTCCAAATGCAAGGACACTTCTCCATGGGGCCGAAATCCGCGTGGGAGCTGGCCCAGGGAAAAGGTGGAGGAACCCCCGTGGATTGGGTCTTCCAAAGAGGCCTTAGAGTCCCACGCCACCGGTCGCCTCCTCTGGTACGACCCGCGCAACGGTGAGACGTCCGTCGTGCTCGACCGCCTCAGTTGCGCCAACGGCGTCGCCCTGCCGAGGGACGAGACGTTTGTGGTCGTCTGCGAGACGTGGAGGTAACTGAACCTTCACCCGGACCATACAGTGCGCGTAACATATGGAGAACCAACCAACTATGGAGAAAAAAAACATGCAGGTTCAGTTGCATGAGAGTGTGGCTGAAAGGGGAGAAAGCCGGCAAGGCAGAGACGTTCGTCGACCTTCCGGGAGCTCCAGATAACATTCGTCTCGGGTCAGACGGTCATTTCTGGATTGCCCTCCACGTCAGCCTTCCAGCCACTGGCTCCCGCCTCCTCGCATCATCCATACCAAACTTGCTAACAGCATCACCTGACAGTTTTGAGTTTCTGGTGTCCAAAATGCAGCTGAGTTCGCCATGGCTGGACTTCATCACGCGCTGGACCTTCACGAAGAGAGTGGTGGCCTCGTTCCCCGTGCTCCTCAAGTGGAGCAAGGCAACGATCAAGGTGCCATGGTGGCTCAGGTGTTGGACGATGGCAACGTCGTCCGCGTGCTTGACGACTCCGAAGGGAAGGTGATCAACTCCGTCACATCGGTGACGGAGTTCAACGGGGACATCTTCCTCGGCAGCCTCTCGACCAACTTCGTCGGGAAATTATCCCTGGCGCAGGTGACACAGCAGGAGCAGGGAGCAGTGTCTTCGTAGACAGACATTCGAGTTCTCCATGTCAGTTTATACCGGAATAAACTGGGGAACATTTCGGTCTAGACACACTCTTTACTCTTTAAGCGTTTCATAAGCTGTAGAACATTTCGGTCTAGACAGACATATACGGCTCTGATGTACACTAATCAGCTCCCGGTTAAGATTTCATAAGCTGTTGAAGATTCAGAAGACTAGTAGCTGGGAAACTGTGTGGCCTTTAGCTCTGCTTTGCCTGGGTTGTTGGCTTTCAGGTGCTCATCGATTTCAGCTTCTGTCAGCACTCTGAAAGTTGGATCATCCGTCCTGACTGCCCCAACCTGGAATATTGGTTACTTGTTATATATGCTTGCATTGTTCAGAGCATGATGATGGACGAATATGTCAGCATATCAATAGAAGTTAAAAATGATTAAGTACCTCGATTTCTGTGGCTTTGAGGTCCTCCTTCAGGGCGAACTGCAATGCTGATATTGCCATCTGGAAATGAGAGGAGAAGAATAAATCAAAATTGGACTGAACCACCAAGTCAGGAAACTGATCACTGTGCTATGAGAATAAAGGCCAAATCAGCTCACAGAAAGATGCATTAACACTATCGAGTCCAACATGCTTTCACAAATTAATATGCAAACTAGGTTCCAAGTCACAATCCATTAAACTGTAAACAAGCTTTCTGAAGCAAGTGTTAGAAGAAAAAAAATAACCAAGTGGCATTCAGTAGTTTATTACAATATAATAATTAAGTCTCCAGGTACAGTTTTATTGAACTTACTACATGATTCCGGAAAGCGATCTAGTTCAGCAAGTGTTTTTAGATTACTTGTTGGCCCCTCGATCTCCGGTAGGGAGATATCCGACCACTCATTAGTGTTGCCGAGCACACACTAGCGATGCCGACCACGATGTGTCTGTTGCCGACAACACACTATGGCTAGAGGTAGAAGAATAGAGGGAGAACAGAGCACACACACAATACAAACACTAGCGTAGGCCGGAGCTCTACAGAGGAGATGGCGGACCGAACTCTCTCTTTACTGAGTTGTAGTGGCAAACCATATATACAACTCTATATATCTAGTCCTCTGACGGATGCCATGTTTTCTACAAGGATTGGATGAGACAAAGCGGGGTGACTCTGCGCTTCGCCCTGCTGTGTCTCTGATCTGGCCAGTGTGTGCCGTTCGGCGCTTTTTGCCCTTGCAAATGGATCTGATACCACAAATAGGGGGCTTTTTCGGCGACGCCTTCTCCAGCCGTGTGTTTACACAAGGAAGCAGTAGATTAACTAACAATTCTTCCCTAATCCTACTACGAACCCTTGACCCCCTCCATGCCGATCATCTCCTTCAGCTCCGTGAGTCGAAGACGGCCGAGCGGCTTGGTGAGGACGTCCGCGAGCTGCCGACCAGTTTCGACGAACTCGATGATGATCTGCCCTCCATCGACACAGTCCCTGAGGAAGTGGGACTTCACGTCGATGTGCTTGCTCCGGTCGTGGAGAACCAGATTCTTCGCGAGGACGATGGCGGGCTGATTGTCCACCATCAGTGCTGGTGGCTGAGCTTCCACACCGGTCAGCTCGCCCAGCAGCCGACGCAGCCACACAACTTGGCACGCCGCTGTGGCCGCCGCTACGTACTCTGCTTCGCAAGTAGATAGCGCCACCACCTTCTGTTTCAGCGACAGCCATGAGATTGGAGCCGACCCGAGGAAGACGAGCACGCCAGAGGTGCTCCGCCGTCCATCGATGTTCCCCGCCATGTCTGTATCGCTGAACACAGTGAGCTACAGCCTACTTCCACCGGTCTTGGGGAAGACGATCCCCTGATCCACCGTCCCCTTGATGAAGCGCAATAGCCGCTTCACTGCAGCCCAGTGATCCTCTTTGGGATCCTCCATGACGCGGCTGACGTAGCCTACGCCGAACGCAATGTCCGGCCTTGTGTGGACTAGGTAGCGTAGACCGCCGACGATGCTTCGATAGAGTGTTGCATCTACCTTCGCCGTAGTACTGGCCTTTGTCAGCTTCAGCCGCTCCTCCATCCGGCCTTGCGTGGACTAGGTAGCGTAGACCGCCGACGATGCTTCGATAGAGTGTTGCATCTACCTTCGCCGTAGTACTGGCCTTTGTCAGCTTCAGCCGCTCCTCCATCGGAGTCACGCATGGCCTGCACTCAGCCATGCCGCTCCGCTCCAATAGCTTCAAGGCATACGCGCTCTGACCGAGTGTGAGTGCCTCCTTCCCTTGTGTCACCTCGATGCCGAGGTAGTAGGAGAGCGCCCCGAAATCGCTCATTCGAAAACGAGCCGACATCTCAGCTTGAAGCTGTCGATGTCCTCCGCACGCGCGCCGGTGCCGATCAAGTCGTCCACATACACGCTGCCGCCGAGCTCCTCCTTCCCCCATCGTCGCGTGTAGAGCGCGTGCTCGATTGCGCACCTCATGAACCCAAGCTTGCCCAGCATGGCGTCAAGCTTGGCATTCCACGCTCGTGGAGCCTGTCGCAGCCCGTAGAGTGCCTTGCGTAGTCGGAGCACCCTGTGCTCTGCTCCCTTGACGGCGAAACCCGAAGGTTGTCTGACGAAGACCGTCTCCGCCAGCTCGCCGTTGAGGAAGGCTGATTTTACGTCTAGGTGATGGACGCGCCAGTCCTTTGCTGCCGCTAAGGCTAGTAGCAAACGGATAGACTCCATGCGCGCTACTGGCGCAAAGACTTCCTCGAAGTCGATGCCCTCGCGCTGAACAAAGCCTCGGGCGACGAGGCAGGCCTTGTGCTTGACAATGGTGTCGTGCTCGTTCCATTTGACCTTGTACACCCACTTTAGGCTGATCGGACGGCATCCTGGAGGTGGATCGACGAGCTCCCAAGTCTCGTTTTCCTCGATCGCCTTCATCTCCTCCAGCATCGCCCGTCGCTAATTTCTATCGCGCTCGGCTAGCGTGAACATGGGTGGTTCCTCTGCACTGACGAGCAGCAGCTCTTGGTCATTAAGCAGCCGACCCGTCAGGCCTGAGGGCCCTGTGCCACCGATGATGTCATCCAGCCTCTGGAACAGCACCTCCTCACCTTTGTGGAAGGCATCCACGAACTCAGTGATGTCACTTGAAGGTGAGGCGAACTCGATCGGCGTCGATGGAGTTCCCTGTTCCGTCGGAGTGCTCGGCACCCGTCTTGCAGTGGTCGGCACCACTTCAAGACCCCTCGGTTTCGCTATGGGAGTGTTTGGCACCCGTCCTGGAGTGGTCGCCACCACTGCAGGATCTCCTGGCTCCACTCCTAGAGTGCTCGGCACTCCTCCCGGAGTGCTCGGCACCTCCCCAGGAGCGCCCGGCTCTGTCACTGGAGTGCTCGGCACCCCTCCCGGAGTGCTCGGCACCTCTTCCCCATCATCTCCACCACCGTGGATGACCAAGTGCTCGATGACGAAGGTGCTGGTGAAGCCGCCAGCTTCCCCCATGCTCGGACTGTTCCAGTCCCAAGCCGCCTTCTCATCGAACACGACGTCGCTCGAGACAAGCACCTTATCTCCGCGTGGGTCATAGAGCCGGTACGCCTTGGTACTCTCCGCGTAGCCCAGGAACACCATCGGTGTGCTCCTGTCCTCCAGCTTGGTCAGGACCGGCTTCGTCTTCCTGACGTGGCCGATATAGCCGAATGTCCAGAGGAAGGACACGCTCGGCTTGTGTCCATGCCAAGCCTCGAACGGCGTCTTGCCCTTCAGGGCCTTGGTGGGAGCGCGGTTGAGGATGAACACCGCCGTGGTCACCGCCTCACCCCAGAACCTTGTCGGCATGCCCTTTGCCTTCATCACGGATCGAGCCATGCCGACCACCGTCTGGTTCCGTCACTCCACCACGCCATTCTGCTGTGGCGAGTACGGCGCGGTGTGGTGTCGCACCACACCCTGATCCGCGTAGTACGCAGCGAACTCTACCGAAGTGAATTCGCTGCCACGATCAGTCCTCAGCATGCCTTCTTGCCGCTCTCGGCCTCCGCGTGCATCTTGAACATCTTGATCGCCGTCGCCGCTTTGTCCTTGCTCGTCAGGAGTTGCAGCCGCATATAGCGACTGCAATCATCCACGAGTAGGAGGAAGTACCGCCGACCACCGTTTGTGGCTGGCGTGATTGGCCCACAGAGATCGTCGTGGATGAGCTCGAGAGCATCCGCTGCGCGATACTTGGCCACCTTTAGGAACGGCATCCTCCTCTGCTTCCCGGCCAGGCAGCTGTCACACAGCTTGCCTCCGTGCTCGATGTGGGGTAGCCCTCGGACCATCTTCTCTAGCCGACCAAGCGCGTCAAAGCTGAGATGTCCGAACCAGGCATGCCACAGCCACGGCTCCTCGGTGTGCCTTGCCGCCGGGCACACCGGCTGCTGCACCTTCAAGTCGAGCAGGTACAACCGGTTCTGGGACCTCTTTACCTTGGCAAGAAGTCGCTGCTCTCGATCTCTGATCCTGAGGACTTCGTCCTTAATCAGTACCTTGCTACCGCGCTCATCCAGCTAGCCAATGTTGATGATGCTTGAACGCAGCTGCGGGATGAAATATACATCCGTTAGCGCGGTGCTCGCCGTTCTGGCACCTGAAGATGATAGTGCCGCGCCCTCGGATTGCCATCCTTGAGTCGTCACTGAACTTCGCAGTAACGGTCACATCGTCATCGAGCTCGGAGAAGGCTACCTTGGAGCCCGTCATGTGGTTGCTGGCGTCAGAGTCCATATACCACCGTTGTTCCTGCTCACCGCCCACACGTTCTAGGTGGACATGGGCACGTGGTTCATCGAGGTTGACAGCCTTCAGGGCCTTCCCAGACCCTTTCACCGCCGTCACCTCTCCCTTCTCCTCGGCCTCGACGTCGTGTAGTGCACAGAACGTCGCCATCAGGATAGTGGCATCATCATCATCATCATCTTGCGCCAGATGAGCTTCAGCCTTCTTCTCGTGCTTGCGATTTGGGCACTCCCTTGCCCAATGGCCTGTCTTCCCGCAGTGTCGGCAGGCGTTGGGGTCGATCTGCTTCTTCTTCTCCGAAGAAGCCTTGCCACGACGCTTGCCATCGCCACCGCGGCTGGAGGAGGCTACCCCGGAGTTCCTCCGAGCAGCCCACTCCTCCTCTGTCAGCAGCAGTTTGTTGCTGTCCTTTGTTGTTGTCGCCTGCTCTAGGCGCTCGTCCACCGCCCGTAGACGGCCTGTCACATCCTCAATAGTGAGGGTGGACAAGTCCAGCATCGTTTCTATGGAGAGAGCGATCTGGATGTACTTTGTCGGCACGGAGTGGAGGTACTTGGAGACCGCCTCCTCTTTGTTGATGGTGACGCCGTGGCTCTTCAACTTGCTAATGAGCGTCAACAGGCGGAGGGAGAAATCCTCCACTGTTTCACCATCCTTGAACTTGAGGTTGGCGTACTCCTGCTTCATAAGTTAGGCAGTCGCCTTCTTTGCGCTCATCGCCGTAATAGCCTCCCACGCCTCCTTAGCAGAGCTTTTCGCCCCCAACGGCTCCCTATACTCCGCCGGTACAGCAGCGAGGATAGCATCCAATGCTGACATGTCATCTTCTTCATTGTCGGTGCCCTTGTCAACAGCATTTCAGAGCCGTCGGGTTCTGAGTTTGACCTTCATGGTCACCGACCACTCTCCATAGTTGGTGCGAGTCAGCGTCGGCCAACTGGTGCCGCTGACCTCCCGCACCATGCGAACAACGACCTCCTGTCATGGCTGGGCACCACAGCAATGTCACTGTTGTCGCCCATCTCCAAACCGTCCGTCATCGCCAACGGTTAGTCCGGCGACAGCGCTTGCTCGGCTCTGATACCACTTGTTGGCCCCTCGATCTCCGGTAGGGAGATATCCGACCACTCACTAGTGTTGCCGAGCACACACTAGCAATGCCAACTACGATCTGTCTGTTGCCGACCACACAATATGGCTAGAGGTAGAAGAAGGGAGGGAGAACAGAACACACACAGTACAAACACCAGCGTTGACCGGAGCTCTACAGAGGAGATGGCGGACTGAACTCTCTCTTTACTGAATTGCAGTGGCAAACTATATATATAACTCTATCCATCTAGTCCTAGTACAGCTGTCATGCTGCAACAGTGACTAGATGAGACAACAGGTCTGACTCTGGCGCCTGCCCCTGCTGTAGCTACAGTGCGGTAGGTGTGCCGTTCGGCGCCTGCCCCTGCAGCGGCTACAGTACCACGGCAAGGAGCCTTTTCGGCGCCGCCTTCCCCTGCCGTGTGTTTACACAAGGAAGCAGTAGATTATCTAACATTACTTGGTATTTATTTGATTTTTTAATAGCATGTGTAGATAACCAACAAAATGGACCTGATTTTTTATAATAATGTTCACCAGAGATACCCTACAGTGTTATTGTTATAGATCTCACTACTAATTGTAAGAACCATGCTGTATAAAATGCATGCTGTCGTCGTAACTCACAACTTCACAAGCACAGACTATGGAATAGCTAACACCCTCCTGTATTATGCGTTGACAGGAATCAATATGATATCAAAAACATGTAAAAAAACATCTCAAATAAAAAGGTTTGCTCATGCTAATTTAAAAAGACACCAGGAAGATGGTCATGCACAGTAAATCACATGATTCCTGTCTCTATTCATCCACAGGAGGTGTTGCATACCTTCATCGAGTTTGCTCGCAATAAATAAAAACACACGTACCTCAATGGTTTCCTGAAATGATAGTGAAGGATTGTTCTTCATTTTCTTCTCAAGAAAGTTGACTGCCTCCCTATCTCTTTGGCCAGCACTTGCTGCCTGAAAAGAATGCATGGGAGAAGTCATGTCTTTCTGATACAGAATGTATTCCAAATTGATGCATGTAAAATGGGATGATATAAGTTTATCCATCGAGAATGTTTATCGAGGTTATAAACCAAACAAGTTTTTACAGAATTTATAAATAAACACTGTCTTATCTGCAGACGTGAAAATCATCCAAAAGAGAAACGGTTAGCTTGCATTATGACTTTATGAGTTTGATGAACCAAGGAAGTCAATGAGTAGCTCAAATTTCCTTGAATAATAAATACCTTGTGACCGAAGAAATACCCAGCAGGATCACATGTAAAGAGCTGTGGAGTTTCTTTCTCATCATCAATGCCCAAAATCATAGCAACTGCATGGGAGAGTACAAGGGCGGTCTAAGGCTCTAAGCATTAAGATATATAACAGAAAATAGTAAAACATGGCTGCAGGTTCCACCACTCCCATTTTATTGCGGGGAAGGAACATCACCCTCAAATATGTAAATCTCATTGCACTAACCAACTCCAGAAGGTCTCTTGGAACCATACTGGGTCCAGATCTGTGCTCTGTCTGCAATCCTGTGAAGAAACAAGCATATGCAGTTGGTTACATGCAGAAGATCCCTGTTTAAATACAGAAGTATGCCAGGCTATTGAAAAAAATCGTGTTTATATATAAATTATCATTAATGAAAGAAAACATTATGCATAGTAAATATAAACATAGTTTTGGTTTGTGACGACCCCTGACTCCCTGTACTGTACGGTGTTTGAAATTCACAGGGCCCACTTAATTTCTTTCCTTCAACTTAATGTGCAGGATCAACAGATAGACAAAACATATGCATAAATCAGGATAAATACTTTCGAGAGGATATCTCAGTGTCCTCTCATACATCCAACACGAGACTGAAGACTGAACATGAGTGAGATTTAACTAATGATGCAGATAGAATTATTTTCATGTTAGCAAGCAATTATAGGCACTGCCAGTGTGAAGTCCTGATCTACTATCTATTTCCTTGAGGTCAATATTTACCATTGTGCCAAAACATCAGGAGGCATTTCATATCCCCATTTGAAACGAAATTCTGCAGTTTGATTCCTTGCCTCATGAGCCAATGCTCTTCCCTCACCTGTAATGATGATTGAAGTGTTAGTCGCTGAATTCTCACTCTTGGTAGTAGGAGAATTCTTACTCTCATCGAGAGAGGATGACACTAGGAGTTGGGGCAATTTTCTTGTCTATTTCTCACACAAGCTCACACAAATGCCATACCAACCTGAGGGGTTGGGGTTACATATTTATAGGCTGCTAGCCAGCCAAGCATATGCCAAGATGCTAGTCTAAGATGCTAGTCTAAGATGCTCAGCCCCACAAAGACCAGCCACACATGACTTATCCATCATGAAGAAACAGCTATGATTATCAGCATTCTAAAACAAGCATACAAATAAACATTACTATTGTGTCATCTTTTGATGTTTCCATCTTTGGTGCTCTGCGCGGTACTGGTCAATGGTGATTCGAGTTAGTTCAAATTTCAACAGTAAATTCTAAACCATTTCAGATGTTAAATTTAATGGCAATGGTCTGATGTTCAACAAGGTACCAAACCAATGGTCTGATGTTCAACAAGGTACCAAACCAATGGTCTGATGCTCAACAAGGTACCAAACCAATGGTCTGATGCTCAACAAGGTACCAAACCAATGGTCTGATGCAATGGTGATTAGAAACAGAAGTAATAAATTGGCAGATCACGCATTCGATGCTCATGAACATAAGGCGTCAGTAAAACCAAACAGATCATTAGAATTTAGACCAACTTCGACGAATTGATGCATTAATGCATTATATGTGTGTGCTAAAGATGACAGTCGAATTGAACCTTTGCAGTATATAACCAGAGGTTTCAGATTATCAAATCGAATATGATTACAGTATGTTGGTGTGTCAACCAACCAAATGCAAGTCTACAGAGCTCAATTAAAAAAGTTCCTAGGTGGATTTTGAAGATACACCATACAGTTTCAATTTTCAAACGCCCTCATGACGCGCAATAAATAAATCAACGCTACGCTACGGCGCATGGTGTATTACGCCATTACCCCGTAACTCCCGAGCGACAGCACCCCCAAAACCGTAACAAGTTGGACCGCATGCATTAGCATTAAAGCAATTGGGGAATGAATCAGACAGCGTACAGCGCATACGTTCTGCTAAGAGTTCGGGCAGAAATGACAAGAGAAGCAAGCGCTGGTGAGGTCACCTACGATCCCCGTGGCAAGCAACCCCAGCCGCTCGGTGATCGGGAACAGGCGCGAAACGCTGGTCATGTCCAGCAACTTGTCCTGGAAGCAAGAAAGCAGAAGAGCATCATGGCCGATTAATCGAGCAAACGCGAGAGACTAAACTTGGACCGATCGCCGCCGCGGGCGCACGGGGCCAGGGGCACTCACCTTGGGCTCGCTCGCCCTCCGCTGGCCGACGACGCAGACGGAGTCGGCCCCGCGCACGCCGACGGAGGTGACGCCCGCTAGCCTCGTGGCGTTCCAAGCGTACTCTGCGAAGGAGACGCGGAAGAGGAGTGAAGGACCATCAGATACCGCAGGCGGCGGGCGGCGCGGAGCTTCGGGTTTCGGGGTTTTCCGTGCGCGCGCACAGCGCACTCACCGACTTGGTAGAGGCGGCCGTTGGCGGAGAAGACGGTGACGCGGCGGTCTTCGGAGACGGTGCCGGACGCTCCGACGCCGCGGTGGCTACTGCCGCCGCTGGACACCTCACCCACCTGCATCGGTCTCGGCGTGGGTTTGGGTTTGGGAGGAGGAGCGCTCGCTCGGCCGTGCCTGGCGTGATGAGAATGAGCTGAGTTGGGGACGCGACGACGGGGGGTTTTGGTCGGGGGCGGAAGAGGAGTGGTGTGCTTCTAGGCTTGAGCTCTAGGTCGCGCGGCAGCCCAGGTTATGTGGCATGCGGCCTATCTTCGGTGAGCGGCCCATCACGGCCTGATGGCTCGGGCGTTACGTTGCTGGAATGCTGGGCCATATCGCGGTTGAAAGGGCCCCAAGACCTAAAAATAAAGGAAATAGTCCATTTAATCCCCCTTAAACTCTCCTCATCTACAAAAAGTATTCTTTTAACCCCTTAACTTTTAAAGGACCTCAGTGGTTTTGAAGAATGTTTTAGTGACGTGACGTCATGTTAGAGCGGGTAAATTGAACTAAGTGAAAGTTCAAGGAGGTAAATCAAACAAAAAATATATTTTATAAAAAATAACAAAAAAACCATAAAAACAAATCTTCAAAATTTATTTAAATATTTTTACATGGAAAAATGTTGCAATTAAAAATTCTAAAATCTTGTTTAATCTTAGAAAAATTATTTTAGCTTGGAAAATTATGAAACTAGTTTTAGATTTTTTTTTTGTAAAAACATGCTCTATCTAATGGTACCTAGCTTAATATTGTTTGAATCATAATGGACTCATTTTTGTTCTTATTTGCTAGTAGAAGTTCTCGTTATCTATTATAACTGGTCAACATTAATTGTTAAGACTACGTAGAAGCATCAGTGGAGCGTCATCGAGACTTTAGTGGTTGGGCTCTTGGTCTCATGTCCTGAATAAATTTTCATAGTTGTGTTAGCCCGCATGGCTACATGCCCTGGATAATAATCATTATGAATGTTTGGCACCATTCATAATTGAGCCCCCTGCTTAGCTCATAACGATATTTAAGCTTTGTAAAATGATCCAAAATTTGGTTAACTCCCACATATATATTAAAAATTATTCCAGTTCAAATATTTTTTAAGGGTAAAGTACATTTTTCAATCTCCAACTCACATTAAAGTTCGATTTTCAACCTTCAACTATGAAACCGGGTAACAGACACCCTCCAACTGTCAAAATCGAATAAATTTGATCCTCGACCTGTTTCAAAAGGGGTTTTCTATTTTCTAATATTAATAAAAATCCGGTTCGATCTCTAAAACTTCATAATTAATTTATTTTAAATTATAAAAATAGGAAACTAGTTCATGTTTTCTTCTAAAAATGATATATATATGTCGGTGCAGAATGCGACCAACTAGTAAATATTTGTAGTTTTGTCGTACATTGTGATCGGAGGTGACCTAGCACTCAATGACACAGGATTTATACTGGTTCAGGCAACGTGCCCTACGTCCAGTTTGGGTCGGTCAGCGACTTTATTCCTGAGCCCAGGTGCTCGAAGTTTGCAGTGGGGTTACAAACAAGAAGAAAGATGGGGTGTACAAGAGGTCCGATCGGCTCCGGTCGAAAGGGCTGGGAACGACAGGAGCTACGCTATGAACTATGTGTTCAAGCACGTGCTTGAGATCCGAACCTGGCGGTTCTGTGGTCGTGGACCAGTGAACTTGGTTGAACTAGTGGGACTAAGAAAGGTTCTTCAAAAAGCCTTCGGGAGAAAAAAGCCTTCTTCTCCTTGGAGGGAGCGCACCCCCTTTTATAGATAAAGGGGATGGCTTTACAAGTGAGGGTACGTATGCTACAGAGCTTTATTGCCCATGTTGGCGGGTACAAGATAATGGTAGGCGCCCACAACACTGTCACTATAGAATGTCGGATGCATGTGGGAGGTTGCGCTGCCTTGTTTAGGAATGGTGGACGTCGGTACCTGTAAAAACTGTTTGATGCCTAAAGGCATGTGAGGAGTGTCACCATGTTCACCCCATACGGTAAATTTCGGCGCCCACAACACTATTGATGCCCAGAGGCACGTGGGGGCCTTACCGTATGGGAGTTTTAACGGCACCTACAATACTGTAGAGGAAAATGTCGGCGCCTATAATACTGTTTGTGTTAGGGCGGTTGCAGAGTACTGTTCCTGCAGGTGTACAGGGTATGGTCCCTGGTATCGTGGTTTGACTTATGTGCCCTGGCTTGCTTTCTCCGTTCGCCCCTGCCTCCTTCCGAGCGGGCGTTCCTGGTCGAAAGGCCCTAGTCGGCTCTGGTCACGCCAGTCGGAGAAGAACGGTGAGCAGGGTTTCTACGCACCCCGGTCGGAGACGCGGGGTTGAAGTCAGAAGTAGCATTTTGGGCCAGGTCTTTCGATCGGAGAGGCCGTTCGGAGGCGGCTGGAGTCCGAAGCTAGTGCTCCGGTCGGAGAGGTGGGCCAAAGTAGTTGACGAACGGACGCCGTTCCTCTTCGGCCAGACCTTCTGGTCGGTGACTGGACCGTCCTTCTGGCCTGTTGTTTTAGACTCTCGGGCCGGCCCACGAGTTGTGTGCTGCCTTCTTGGGCCGAGCCTGGGCATGGAAGGCAGTCCCCAAGGGACCCCAGGTTTATGAACCCGACAGGAGCCCCCGAGCCCCTGGGCGATTTGGGTAGAATCGTCCGAGGGATTTAGCCCCCGATCCCCCGGGCGGTTCGGGTAGAACCGTCTGGGGGTTTTCCTGTGCTGTTAGTGGGGGAGGTTTTCTATTTCGGTGGGTGCGCGCGAGCGCACCCGCGGGTGTAGCCCCCGAGCCCTCGATCGGTTCGGAAAGAACAGTCTGGGGTGTTCTTTTAGCGAGCGTGTGTGCGTGTTCTTAGTTTTGAGATGGTTTTTGTCAACGTAGGCGTCGTTGTGCAGCCCAGGTGATTTTGGTTGCTTGAGAGATGGGGTAAGAGGGAGCTCGTGGATCCTGGCGTCGATGCGCGCCGTGGGATTGGGTGAGGTAGTTAGTTTAGACAAGAGAGATCTCACTGATCCTGGCGTCGGTGCGCGCCATGGGATCAGGTGAGTTGGAGTCGTGGGGCGAGATCGGGGTTGCGGACCCAGGTGCTTAGAGCGCAGTCGGAAGCGTAGCCGAATGGGGTGAGATCAGGGTCGTAGACCCAGGTGTTTGGAGCACAGTTGGAAGTGTAGCTGGATGGGGCGAGATCGGGGTCGCGGACCTAGGTGTTTGGAGCACAGTCGAAAGCGTAGCCAGATGGGGCGAGATCGGGGTCGCAGACCCGGGCATTTTGTGTCTTGAGCCCCCGAGCCTCATTGGGCCTTAGTAGGGGTCGGTGTGAGTTATGTGTGTTACCCTATCCTCGGTTTCTCATAACCGGAGGGGCTGAGTTTTGTCGCCTGTCCTGATCGCTCGGGCTCGAGTGACACGCTCGGTGAGTTCGCTAACGGGTGTGATCGAGCGGAATCCGGGTCCGTCGTTCGTGACGGGGTCGGCATAGCCCTCTTATGACATTCCACTAGTCCTTTACCTGTAACCCGACAGATGCCTAGGTCATTCTGGAAACCGACCCGGGTGGCCTAACGGCCTTCCCTCGATGAAGATTCTGTGCGCTTGGCGAGAGGTTCAGGATCGAACGAGAAGGTTGAGATGACCCAGTCTGCCAGACCGGGTGAGGGCCGCACGGGGCTCATCTACGATTTTCTCCCCTGGCTCTTGTTGGTTGCTCATGTCGAATGAGGCAACCGCCGCTTCGTGACGCAACACGGAGCGTTGTGATGCATTTCGCTGCACATGCAATGCTTAGTTCCCGAGCCCCCGGGCGGTTCAGGGCCCGAATCGTCTAGGAGGCGTGGGCGTATGGAATGAATGCACGTATGGATGTATGAAATGCTTATAAGGAAATAGAGGGGATTGGTAGTGTTTACCTTGAAGATTTGAGCGACGGGGTTCGGAGAGCTTCAGTCGGGAATGTCCGACCGGGACCCGTGCTCGTCGTTCGTGACGGAGTCGGCATGGCCTACACGGGGCGTCCCTTTGCTTCCTACCTGTGTCTCGGTGTGTCTTTCTGAGCTGTTCGATCGACTTGGGAAGCCCGATGGCCTCTCTCGGTGGAGATCCTGTTTCGGATTTTTCCAAGTCCCGCCTGGGGATGTGAAGAGCTACCCGCGTGTGGTGGTGACGCTTCAGTTTTCACGCTAGGTCGTGCGATAGTGGTGGGCCATACCTAGGCCATGTCTCGCCTGACCAGGCGGCGTTCTGTCGGTTAGTGCACGTCCCATCGTTTCCCGTCCGTATTGAATGGGGGAAGGGAGAGAGTTTTTCGCTCTGATCTTTTGCCCCTCTTCGGTTGCCACATTTCTTCCTTAAATAGGGGGAGGGAGAGGGCTCTCCGTCGCAGTCTTTTGCCTATTCACCAACTATTGTCTCTCCTCCTTCTTCCTTCTCCCCGAGAGTGCATGTATGCCACGATAGTTCCTAAGTGAGAGAGGGGGTGAGCGAGGGGGAGGACTTACAGATCCTTTCATGGATCCAGAGCGTGATGTTGAGCTAGAGGCTGCTTGGGGCGATGCTGGATTAATCTACGAGGCCTTCTTCGGGATGGAGCCGTGTGTGGACTTTCTTCGGTGGATCTTCGCCAGGCGAGTCTTATCGAAGGGGAAGCTGCTCAGGATCATGCCGGTGGAGGTTTCCACGCCTGCAGCTGCTCAGGTTGGCCAGTTCATAAAGTTTGATGAGATCTCTTCCAGCCATGGTGGCCATACTTCGGTGGTGGTGTCCTTGTCCAGGAGCTGCCTTGACTACATGAGAAGGTCCACAGCCCCATGCTCTTCTGCCAAGCATCTATGGGTGCAGAGCCCTTGAGGCACCCGTTGCGCTCGCCGAAGTCGAGGGAGCGGAACCGGGTGGGTCCCCTGAGGTACCCGTTGCACTCGCCAAAGTTGAGTGAGCGGAACCGGGCGGGGCCCCTGTAGCGGGGGCTATGTCTGGCGGTGAGTATCGTTTTTCTTCGGCGTCATGAGATGTCGTCGAGCGGCCGTAGTAGTATTTGGAATGGAAGTAGTTAGAAAAATGTAATGGTTTGTGGGTGAGCC